AACAAACAACAACACATAAGGATATATGCCGTAAACATTATATAGAGGTAACGGCGTTTAGATGGGGCAGGAAGAGAAGATCGAGCATACTGAACAGCTGGGGGAGAGGAGGGGGAACGAGACAGAGACAGGGACTGCACAGAAACTAGCAGAGGAGCAGATCAACTACAGAGGGTAAGTAAAGTTGAATGAGAAGAGGTGTGAGCAGACAGACGGAGAGAGGTTGAGGAGGAACAGTGGGAGGAAAATGGAGCAGCAGGTGGAAACATGTATTTTTACGTTGTTGTTTTGTGTTGGCGAGTGGGGACAGAGGGGGTTAGAAGCCTCTGGAGATCTCCAGAGTCGCCCATGGAGACCTCAAGGAATCTCCAGATGCCCAAGGAATCCTCGATGGATTTCCGAACATGCAGTCAAACAGCAGTTGAAATACAACCCACGCTGGACAAGGATGAGGAAGAGGACGGGGAGGAGGATGAGGATGAAGGTCTTCCTCCCCCTCGCCATGCCTGCATGTCTCGCCGAATGTGTTCTCATCCGATTTGGTCAGCACGCCATAGTATCTCCGCCGCGTGGGGGACTTCCGCGTTCCGCCCCCCCGCGGGTATACCCGCTGCGCTCCATTTCCTCCTCTTCGCCCTCCTCCTCATCGTCCATTTCCTGGCTTCGTCACCCTTCGTCGTTCTTCGACGTCGCTCGCCCCTCCTCTTCCTCATCCCTCCTCGTCCTCGTTGTCGTCTTCGTCCCCCCCTCCCTCGCCCCGTCTCCCTGCGGAGTGCCCCCCGGAGACCCCTGGGATTGCCCACGCAGGCCGCCGACCTCTGCAGACCCCCTTGGGGGAGCTGCCCGGGGACCTCCATGCACGGGGCCCCGACGTCCGCTTCGGGGGCGTCCCTCTCCTCTTCCCCCTCGTCGCCGTCCTCGTCCCCGCCCTTCCCCCGCTTCTCCTCGTCTCCCTCCTCTTCGTCGCCGGCCTCTGCCGCCTTCTCCTCTCCTCCCGCCGCCTCGTCCTCTTCGTCGCCGTCCTCCTCCTCGCCTCCTCGCCCCCTCCTCGTCGCCGCGCCGTCGGGCTCCTCTTCCGCCTCCCCCGTCCCTCTCGGCTGGCCCGCTCCTTCTTCCGCGGCCTCCCCTGGTGCCCGCGCCCTGCCCCCCCCCCTCCGCGTTCGCGCTCTGCCCAGGTCTCTCGGTCGACCAAGCAGAGCTTCGAGGACCCTCGGTGCCCTTCTAGCGTCTGTACAGTCGGGGCCCTGAAGAAGGAACCCTTTTCGTTGGGGAGGGGCTCCGCGTTCCTTAAGTATGTCACAGCTTGCCTCAGGATTTCTTTATGTTTCCGACAGGAAATCGAAGGTTAACTTATGGAAAAAAGGGGCCTCGTTCCTTATTTAGGGTTCCTTAGGTCACCGCCCCGTCTGTACTCCAAATCCCTTATGAGTCGCCCCCCCCTCAAAAAAAACTGACCCCCCTCCAAGAATGCGACCTAATATTCCGGACCCCTCTCTTCGACGGGGCGCCTTAATAAGTTGGACCCCCTAAGTTCCAGTCCAAAGAAAGTGAAGTAATGAACCCCCCCCCCAGTTACAAACAAGCCGCCTTGAAAAACCAGACCCGGGGAACGATTAATAAGGGATTTGGAGTAGCAGAGAAGGGAGGGAGGACGGATCACAGGAGGAAGTGTTCCGATCTTGCTACCCTGCCCTCGTCGCACTGTGGGGTCAGCCTCTCGCTTCGGCTCAGAGGTCCAGGGAGCAGCGGCATTGTCACCTTTCGTGTCCCCCTGGAGGAAGGGTCAGACAGGCTTGGGACGAGGATAGGTCGTTCCAGAGCGTTCTGGGACGCTCTCGGTCTGGGGCGCTCAGTACATGCTCCAGAATTCAGACCCGGCAACTCAGAGATTCCCGATTCAGCATCGTCCGAATGTGTGTCGTCATCTTGGCAGGAGCTGTTGGGGAGGAGGAGGAGGAGTGTGGACGATTTTGCTTCGGGGCCTTGGCCCAGGGGAAGGCGGAAGGGGGATGGTTGCCCTTTTGCGGAGGAGGGTGGAAAAACATAGCAGTAAGGAGGGAGGGAGGGAGGGAGGGAGGGAGGGAGGAGGAGGAGGAGGAGCTGGAGGGCGGCCCGTCATGGCGTGATGCGACACCACATTTTAGGCGAGGTTGGTCCATTAATCGTCCCGCGTTTTTCGAGGAGGAATCTGTCTTTCGCAGGAACAAAAACCCATACCACACCGTTGTCCAGCTCGACGTTGAATCGAAGATAGAGCTTCTGGATTTGAGGCCATGGGGACGACGGTGACGGCGAGGATGATGAGTTGGAGGGCGAGCAGGAGGAACAGATGGAGCAGGATGGGGGACTCAGGATGATGAGGATCATGATGATGAGGACGAGCACGCGGTTCAGGACGACGAATCAGGGGAACCTCTTGAGGCCGTCCTTGGGGTCTTTCGGGCTGAGATCCGAGATGGCTTCGGTGGCCTTCTCGGGGCGATGTTGGGGCCAGCTTGGGCCGTTTTGCATTGCAAGGTCTACAATCTGAGAATGTTGAAAAATGAGAAAGCCATTGGGCGATTGGGCCGGCCCCCATGGCGTATTGGCCTTGTGGGGCGTATCGATCTGGCCCCAATGGGCCTCCAAGACTGCCCAGGAGGCGCCCGCGAGGGCTTCGGGACGGTGGCTCGGGGCCACGTCGTGCTGGGAGCCTGGGTGTGGAGCCTCGCTCCCGAGGCCTCGGAAGAGACGCCCGAGAAGCCCCGAAGCACGAGCCCCGCGAGCGCCCGAGAGTTCCAGAGGAGCCCGCGGTCGGGGGCCCGAGAGAGCACACGAGCCCAGGGGGTGCACCACCCCCACAATGGAACAGGGAGCGCACACGCCCAGGAGAGAGCGCACCGTCCCCCAAGAGCGCACCATCCCCCAAGCGTGCACGGATCCCTCCGCCTCCTCCTCCTCCTCCTCCTCCTCCTCCTCCTCCTCCTCCTCCTCCTCCTCCTCCCCCTCCTCCCCCTCCTCCTTCTCCCACTCCTCCTCCTCCCCTCCTCCTCCTCCTCCTCCTCCCTCCTCCTCCTCCTCCTCCTCCTCCTCCTCCTCCTCCTCCTCCTCCTCCTCCCTTCCTCCTCCCTTCCTCCTCCTCCTCCTCCTCCTCCTCCTCCTCCTCCTCCTCCTAAGTCCGTGCGAGCGCTGCCAAGACGCGCACGCCCCCCCAGAAGGGCACGAGAGGAGCCGGACGGGACCGGGCGGAGGACGGCCCGCTCGGTGAGCCTCGCGGCGCGCGCATCCCCGACGTTGACGTCGGGCACGTCCCTCTGCAGGAGGAATCTCCCAAAGTACTCCAGAGTTCGTAATAAAAGGGAGGGGGTCTGGACCCTCCAAGACAAGCGATTTCAGACCGCCCCCGTGGGAGAACCCTCCAAAACACCGTCCCCAGACCCCCCCAGGCCCTCCAAGATAGCCTGGAAGAGACCCCCCCCGAAATGAGACCCCCTCCCTTTTATTACGAAATCTGGGGTAGGCTAAAAATAGTTATGGGGCCGATTTGTTGGCGTATTTGTGCCTATTGTTGCTCCTTTTTCGCGACTGTGTCTAATTTGTCGTCCACCATCCCCCTGTGGGAGGACGCGCCCGACCTGACCCTGACGCGCGCACGCGCACTGCGTGGCAGCCGGCATCCTCACCGCCAGCCGCCGAGCCGCGCCACCGCAGGGCCTGCCCCGTGCCTGCCTGGGCAGCGGGGGTTCTCCCAGGCGGGCCCCTGGGCCCCGGGGCCGAGCAAACGCCGCTGCGCTCAGCTCCTCGCCGCTGCGCTCAGCTCCTCCTTCCTTCGTCTCAGCCACGCGCAGAGGGGGGTGGGGGGAGGGGGAGGGCTTCTTAGAAGCACCCCTGCTTCTTAGAAGGCGTGGGCTTTATCTATAGATGTGAGGCCGCCGCCTTCTCAGAAGCAGCCTCCTTCTAAGAAGCCCTCCCCCCTCCCTCCACCCCCTTGTGCGCGCCGCCAATATTCGGTAGCAACTCGTGGGAGCCTGGTATATCCTTTCAAAATTCCTTCTTTCGCGTCCGCTAGCGTCGATTAGCGTCTGGAGTCGATGAGGTAGCGCCGATCTAGAGTCGACCGGCGTCGATGAGCGTTGGTTTGGCGTCGATCAGCGTCGATCTAGCGTGGACCAGTGTCGATTCGCAAGAATCGACATGACGGTATGGGAGGGTTCCGCGAGTTGCCACCGAACCCTCCTCCCGGTCCCTCGGCTCCACATAGGGGTGGCGCCAACGCGGGCGGCGAAAGCGGAGCGCGCCGCCGGGCCTCACGGAGAGAAAGTCTTGACGAGCTGGGGTGCGTTGCGAGACTGCGAGGAGACTGCACGGAGAGACCTCGAGGCGCACGCTGAGCTCCCACTCGGGCCCCGAAGGCGGTTTGGTAGTGACTCTGAGCGCCGCTCGGCTTGCAGGCGCGGCGGCCGCCCGCCCCCCCCCCGTCTCCGCCGCCCCCGCGTGGAGCTGCACCGGCCTGGCCTGCGGGGCGTGTGCCCCGCCGGGCGCCGTGCGCGCGAGGGCTCGGCGGAGGGCAGGCACCCAGCCTCAGGGGGTGGGCTCCGAGGCGAACTTGCTGATGGGCCTGTCTTTCACCACTGCCACCGCCATGAGTTGGAGGGGGGAAGGAAGTGGAGGAGGAGGAGGAGGAGGAGGAGGAGGAGGAGGAGGAGGACCCCCTCCCCCTCCAACTTACGGTGGTGGAAGGGGAAAACAGGCCCATCACCCCCTCACTTGTTCGGTCATTAGCCGCGGGTGTCCTCAGGCTGCTCGTCGCGGCTCGCTTGTCTCAGGCCCCCGACGTCTTGGTTTTTGCCACGACGTCGACCCCTATAGAGGTCCCGACCGATTCCCCGGGACCGGTATTGCCTCCCGAGTCGCGTTTGGACTGGCCCGAGGGCCGGTAAGGGCCCCCCAAGAGGCCAGAGGTTAACGAAAGCCCTCCCGCCGCGAGAATGTTACGACGCTGGGGGGGGGGGGTCTGGGCTCGTTTCGTGTCTCGGCGGTAAGCGAGGGGGGGGGATGGAGAGGGAGAAGGTCTTCTCGGAAGGCGGCGGGACTTCTCGGAAGCCCTCGCGCCATCCGAGAAGTGTTCCGTGTCCTCGGGGGAGGCTTTCACATCGGTCGTTGGAAGTTGGTATTTCTGGAGTCCCAGACAGATTCCAATCTACTTCATAAGCGCCTTCCTACCTCAATGATCGAGTGGCTTCACCTCCGTCCGTCCTCCCAAGGGGGCGGGCGGACACCCAATCTATTTTCAACGCCTTCCTATTTCCTGTTTCTGCCTACTTCTTCCGACCGATGGGCATGACTCTGATCTTAAGGTTGGGGGACTCCAGAGCCTTCTGAGAAGGCCCGCCCCCCCTCAGTTCCCCCCGGGCTCGCCGCCGATCGACGGGGAGAGGGAGGTACTCTGGGGCGAGAAGGTGGCCTCCTCCTCCTCCTCCTCCTCCTCCTCCTCCTCCTCCTCTCCTCCTCCCCTCCTCCTCCCCTTCCTCCTCCTCCTCCTCCTCCTCCTCCCTCCTCTTCTCCTCCTCCTCCTCCTCCTCTCCTCCTCCTCCATCCTCCGCCTACTCCTCCTCCTCCTCCTGCTCCTCCTCCCCTCCTCCTCCTCCTCCTCCTCCTCCTCCTTCCTCCTCCTCCTCCTCCTCCTCCCACTCCTCCTCCTCCCCCTCCTCCCCCTCCTCCCCCTCCTCCTCCCACTCCTCCTCCTCCTCCTCCTCCTCCTCCTCCTCCTCCTCCTCCTCCTTGTCCTCTCCTCGCCCTCCTCCTCCTCAAAGCCTCCCAGACCCCCTCGAGTCGCGAAAGAAGCACGGCGGCAGCTTCGTCGCCAATGTGTGTGTTGCCTCCCTCGCCGGGCCTCGGGGCCGTCGAGGGCCCCCTCGATCCAGGCCTCCCAGCTGGGGTCGGAGTGGATAGGGTCGGAGGATCGCGCCGCATCGCCGATGCATCGGCGATGCACCAGCGATGCATCGGCGACGTGGGCGATGCATCGGCGATGCGGCGGGAGAAAGGGGGACCCCCTGCGGGGGTCTAGGCCTCCCAGCTGGGGTCGGAGTAGACGGGGTCGGAGGAGCGCGCCGCATCGCCGATGCATCGCCAGTGCGGCTCGACGTTGTCTTTCGCGGAAGTTCTGTGGGAGAACTCATTCGTTGCGCGCGCAAGGAAATACGTACGAAGCGACGCCCAAGGAGAAACTTAGACGGAGGACGACAGAGGGACGACAAAGAGGGCACAGGTAGCAGATGTATGAGTAAGGAGGTGGAGGAGTTGGGCAACGCCTGGTGGGGGGCGCCACATGTAGGGGTGAAGAAAGGAGCCCCTTTCGGGCCCTGAAAGCGCCTCCTTTCGGGCCCTGAACGGCCCCTTTTCTGCAGCCCGCGGTTGCCGATGGTCCGTCTGCGTGTCTGCGATGGCTGTGCGTGGCACAGATCGGAGGGACAGATCGTCACCCACGCGACGGATTCTGTACACACGTCCACGACGCCACGGTGAAAGGGCCCCGCCACGCCCGCGCCGACCCTCTTAAGGGTCCCGCTCCGGCGGACCTGGGCGCTCCGCACCGCTCCGCTCCGCAGACATTGTCGTGTCCGTGTTCGGCCTCTGGGGGCCTCCGCCGGGCCTCGGGACAGTCAACAAAAGGGCTCGGGGTGAGAAGGTGGCCCCAGGGAACGGGTCGAGGCTGGCTCAACAGATCACGACGTCGGGGGAATGGAGGTCTCGACGCATCTCCCTTTCCAGTCCGAGTCGCTCGGCGGCGGCGCCCGGGCCCGGCGAGGGCCCGCGGAGGCCGAGCAGCGGCGAGGACCCCCCTTGGCACGTTTTGGGGCGGCGGCGGCGGCGGCCAGGGCGGGTGGCGGGCCGCCGGCGGCGATGGCCACGGCGGCCGCCGGGGGCCGCGCCGAGGACTTCTGCCAGGAGTGCCGCCGGCCCGACCTCACGCACGCGGCGGAGGCCTGCGGGGTGCAGCCGTGCGTGCGGGAGGACGCGGCCGCTCTCACCGGCCGGAGGCGGACGTGGCCGCGCCCTAGGCCTCCGACGCGCGGCCTGGGGCCTTGGGGGGCGCCTGTCCTCCAGGGCAAACTCCGCCTCGGATTGCAAGGTTTTCGCGGGGCGCAAAGAGGGGGGGTGGTGCTAAGGGGGGGGGGGGTGGAACAGCGGGGGCGGGGGCCATGAATCTCCCCAGATTTCATGGCTCCCTTCTCTTTTCAATACGTCCCTGGCCCCCCCGCGTGGCCACGCACATGCCGCCGGTCATGATTTGCACCCCCCCCCCTCTTGGACACCCCCCTCTTGGCCGCTCCCGAGGTTTAATTCGCCGTTTGTTTGCCGCGGTGTCGGCGTTGTCCACTCGGGCGCGTCGAGGACAAGCGTCGCGGCGACGTGATCAGGTCACTGCCCCCTCTGCCTGGCATCGCCCTCTCGCGAGGCCGACCCGAGGGCTCCCCTTCGTTCCCGAGGGCGCACACCTGGGATTGTCCTCGCCCTTTGGCCTGTCCACCCCCTCGGGGTGCGCATCCCTTCGACGCCTCCCCCGCCCCCGCCGCGCGGGGCGCCCCGGGCCCGTCTCCGGCGGCCCTCCCGCGGCGGCCCTCCCGCGGCCCCCTGTCCACCCGGGAGCCCTCGCCAGGCCGCTGGGCGGCGGCCGGCGGCCGGCCTGCGGCGGGCCGTCCGCGCGGAGGCGTCCCGCGTGGAGGCGTTCGCAGGGCGCCAGCCTCGGAGGGCCCTCGGAGGCGTGTTCCCCCCGCGGGGCGCCGTGCGGCGGCCCCCTGCGGCCGCGGGGCCTCGCAGGCCTTCGCGTCGGCCTTCGCGTCGGCCTCCGCCGTCGGAGGCCGCCTCTGGAGGCCTTCTGGCCCTTCCGCGGAGGTCTTGGCAGGGGTGCCTACTCGGTGGGCTCGTAATCGGCACGGAGGTCGGCGGCGTCGTCGTCGTCGTTGACGTTGTTCGTGTTGCTGTTACTATTGTTGTTGGTGATATTGATGTTGGTGTTGTGGTTGGTGTTGCCGTTGCTGGTGCTGTTGCTGCTGCTGTTGTTGGTGGTGGTAGTGGTGGTGGAGTTGTTGTTGTTGGTGGTGTTGTTGTGTTGATTGTTGTGTGTTTTTGTTGTGTTTATTGCGATTGCTGTTGTTTGTGGTTGTTGGTGGTGGTGTTGTTGTTGGTTATTGTTGTTGTTGATGTTGTTGTTGTTGTCGTTGAACTTTCATTTCTGAATAATTTGTGTTGATCCCTCCCGTCCGGTGTACACTGTTTTTGTTCGATTGAAGTACCCTTCCCGGGGCTCGCACCTTGTCTTTTTTTCACGGAAGGTCTTGAGGGTCGAATTGTGTCGTTGGCCCCCCGGTTTAGAACAACAGCGGCTCCCGCCTGAGACTTCCTCACAATTTAGCCAGAACCCCCGCTCTCGCCCAAGACTTCCTCGCGTATTATTCCGGAATCGCGCTCTCGCTTGGGACGTCCTTTGAATTTATTGTCCCGTCGCTCTGGAGTCGCGCTCTCGCTGGAGACTTGCTTGCAATTTACTGAAGAACAGCGCCCTCGCGTTGGAGTTTCTTGTAATTTACTCAAGCGCCACTCTCCCGACACCCAGGCACCCAGGAGTCGCGCTCACGCTTGGGACTCCTTCACAGATTACATAGGAATCGGGATCTCGCTGCCGTTTGTGGCCCCGTTGCAGCCCTTCGTGGCCCCCTCGCTTTGTTTCGTCGCCCCGTTTCAGCCCTCCGTGGCCCCCTCGCAGCCGTTTGTGGCCCCGTTGCAGCCCTTCGTGGCCCCCTCGCTTTGTTTCGTGGCCCCGTTGCAGCCCTTCGTGGCCCCCTCGCTTTGTTTCGTGGCCCCGTTGCAGCCCTCCGTGGCCCCCTCGCTTCCCTCCGTGGCCCCCTGGCCCCGTTGCAGCCTTTCGTGGCCCCCTCGCTGCCCTCCGTGGCCCCGTTTCAGCCCCTCGTGGCCTCCTCGCTGCCGTTTGTGGCCCCGTTGCAGCCCTTCGTGGCCCCCTCGCTTTGTTTCGTGGCCCCGTTGCAGCCTTCGTGGCCCCCTCGCTTCCCTCCGTGGCCCCCTCGCAGCCCTTCGTGGCCCCGTTGCAGCCCTTCGTGACCCCCTCGCTTTGTTTCGTGGCCCCGTTGCAGCCTTCGTGGCCCCCTCGCTTCCCTCCGTGGCCCCCTCGCAGCCCTTCGTGGCCCCGTTGCAGCCCTTCGTGACCCCCTCGTTTTGTTTCGTGGCCCCGTTGCATCCCTTCGTGGCCCCCTCGCTGCCCTTCGTGGCCCCATATATGTATGCCCTTCGTGGCCCCCGCCCGTTCGCGCCCGTGGTGGCCCCATATGCATATGTCCTACGTGGCCCAGTTGCTACCCTCAGTGGCCCCATCGTTGCCTTTTGTTGCCCCGCATTATCTGCCCTTCGTGTCCCCGCTCGTTCGCGCTCTTCGTGGCCCCATACGCATTCCTTTTGTGTCCCCGCTGTCGCCCTTCGTGGCGTGGCCTACTTCGTCTCCTTGTGGCCCTGCTGTCGTTCTTTTTCGGGGTCGGGTCGACGGTCCGCGGCCGCCCCGCCGATCAGCGCTGCCGCTGGCCAGGCCGACGGTCCGCGGCCGCCCCGCCGCCTGCCGGGGCCCGGCCTGCAGGTAAGAGAGGTATACCCCTCAAAAGGGGTTCGATCGAAGACGAAGAGGGCGGGTATCGAGGGTTTGGGAAATAGGCGTTAGTGAAAATTCGAGCAGATAAGGGCGAACAGTCTTCAAATGATTGTTGTTGCTGTTGTTGTTGTTGTTGTTGTTGTTGTTTTTTGTAGTTGTTGTTCGTGTTGTTGCTTTTGGTGTTGTTGCTGATGGTGTTGTGTTTGTTGCTGCGTTGTGTTGTGCTGCTGGTGATGATAGTGTGGTTGTTGCTGTTGATGTTGCTGTTGCTGTTGTTGGTGGTGTTGCTGGTGTTGTTTTTTGTGGCGAGTGCTGTTGTTGTTGGTATTGTTGATGTTGCTGCTGCTGTTGTTGCTGATGGTGTTGATGGTGCTGTTGTTGGTATTGATGTTGTTGCTGGTGGTGTTATCGGTGTTGTTGTTGGTGGTGCTGTCGTTGTCGTTGTCGTTGTCGTTGTCGTTGTTGTTGGTGCTGGTGTTGTTGTTGGTAGTGTTGTTGTCGTTGTTGTTGTTGCTGCTGCTGTTGTTGTGTGTGTGTTGTCGTTGGTGGTGTTGATATGTTTGTTGCGTGTGAGGTTGTTGCTGTTGTTGTTGTTGGTGGTGGTGTTGTTGTTGGTGGTGTTGTTGGTGTGTTGTTGTTGTTGGTGGTGATGTTGTTGTTGGTGTTGGTGTTGTTGTTGTTGTTGATGTTGTGTTGTTGTTGTTTTTGTTGTTGTTGTTGTTGTTGTTGTTGTTGAACATTATTAATTCTAAAGAATAATTATTGTTGGGCCCCCTGGTGCACGCCCCCCCCGCCGCGCCTAGGCCGCAGCCACGTTTTCATCATTTTCGTGAGGAAGCCTCAGGTAAAACGATGTCATCCAGATCCGGTTGTTTTGTTCCCCCCCGCTTTCCCTTGCAAAAAACACTATAAAATGAAATTTCTTGTTCAAATATACTCAAATTTCAAGAATCCCTTGCAAAAAATAAGGTAAAGTGGACATTCGCGCGCGCAAGACGAAATCCTTCCAAACGCTTAGTGTTCGGAACGATTTTAACATAAAAACATCAAAAAACCAATGGTTTTTCAACAAAAAAATGTCAAAATCTCATCCCGCGCGCTCTTGCGGATTCGTAGGAAACCCAACACTTTTTTCAACATTTCTGTCAAACGGGCTTTTGCGAGCAACTTTTTCGAACTTCTGCGACAACGGTTGCGCACCTGCCAGGGCCATCATCCCTGTCAAATAATCCCATCCGCGCATGTGCCCAGCATGGCACAATTGCACCATGCTGGGCACATGCGCGCCCCGAATAAGTGACCAAGTTCTGTGGGTGTGTACCCCACGCCAGTGTAGTAGCCACGGTCGTCCGCACGCCACGAAGTGAAATGTCCCAACGTCATAGGGCGGGAAGCTGGGTTTGGGTGGTCGCGAAGAGTCGTTTGGATATTTGGTAGAGCTTGAACTGCCCCCCCACGAAGTGGGGGTATTGTCTCGCGTCGCATGAAAACCCTGGCACTGGTGAGAACACTGAGCGTTCGGGTAAAATGATTGTTGTTGTTGTTGTTGGTGTTGTTGTTGTTGAACATTTATTTATTCTAAAGAATAATTATTGTTGGGACCCCTGGTGCGCGGCCCCCCTGCGCCGCCTAGGCCGCAGCTACATTTTCATCATTTTCGTGAGGAAGCCTCAGGTAATACGATGTCATCAAGATCCGGTTGTTTTGTTGTAATCCGTTTTCCCTTGCAAAAAACACTATAAATGACATTTCTTGTTCTAATATAATCAAATTTCAAGAATCCCTTGCAAAAAATAAGGTAAAGTGGACATTCGCGCGCGCAAGACGAAATCCTTCCAAACGCTTAGTGTTCGGAACGATTTCAACATAAAAACATCAAAAAACCAATGGTTTTTCAACAAAAAAATGTCAAAATCTCATCCCGCGCGCTCTTGCGGATTCGTAGGAAACCCAACACTTTTTCAACATTTCTGTCAAACGGGCTTTTGCGAGTAACTTTTTCGAACTTCTGCGACAACGGTTGCGCACCTGCCAGGCCATCATCCCTGCAGGGCCATCATCCCTTGTCAAATAATACATGCGTGACACATGTCTTTTTTTCTCGCGCGTCGCACGCCGAAATCTCTCAAAACCATTGGTTTCCTTAAAATTTCTTTTTTTTTTTTTTTTTTTTTTTTTTTTAGCACCGCGCATCATAAAATCACACGAATCGCACCGTAGGTCCTCGAAAAACACCTGCACGACTTTTCAAAATTTCCACCCCCGCGCGCTGTCCGAATCCTAAAAAAACCAATGGTTTTCCAACATTTATGTTACATGAGCTCGCGCGAGCTACTTTCGCACGCTCTTGCAACGG